CACCCACAACTTAAGAGGGTCGGAGCCAAGAGGCCTGTATGGAGGCCAAGTAGGGAAAGGTTCTCAGGTAGAAGGAAATGCTAGCAGCCTTTGACTGGACTCTCTTCTGCTAAGTCGCCTCACCCTCTTTTAAAGCCATGCAGTCAGAGATGCTCTTCTGCTGCATTTCATGGTCATCTGATTGTTCCTGAAAAAAGACAGTTCTTGTGAGCTCAGAAGTCCGCTCACCTTTTCCCAGTGGGTGGCATTGCAGCTGGGCATCTTATGCCATCTTAGGGGGCAGAGGGTTGCTGCCTCCTCCCTGCATCATGCCGGCCGCATTGTTGTTGCTGGGGTTCTACCCTTAGTAATAATAATAATAATAATAATAATAATAATAATAATATATTAGAAAGGGGTTAAGTTTACTGCATGTACTGGGTTAAAAGAAAACATTATGAAAATGATGTATAGATGGTACTTAGCCCTGTTAAAATTAGCAAAGATTTATCACACGAATGATAATTTATGTTGGAAATGCAAAGAAAAAGAAGGCACCTTTTATCCTATGTGGTGGATGTGTCCCAAGGTGAAAGACTTCTGGGAAAAGATTTATGATGAGTTGGAAAAAATGTTGAAAAATACATTTGTTAAGAAACCAGAAGCCTTTTTACTTGGAATAATAGGATTGGAATTGCCAAAAAAAGATGCTAGATTATTTTTGTATGCCACTACAGAGGCAAGACTGCTATTAGCTAAAAAGTGGAAATTGCAAGAAATACTAACTGTAGAAGAATGGCAGATGAAGACGTTGGACTTTTTGGAGCTGGCTGACCTGACTGGAAGAATCCACGATCAGAAAGAAGAGGAATACCAAGAAGATTGGAAGAAATTTAAAGATTATCTAGCTAAATATTGTAATATAAGATAATTAGACGTGGGAGGCGCTGTGGGTAAAACCTCAGCGCCTAGGACTTGCCGATCGTATGGTCGGCGGTTCGAATCCCCACGGTGGGGTGAGCTCCCGTCATTCGGTCCCAGCTCTTAAGTGCAAGTAGATAAATAGATACCACTTTATAGCGGGAAGGTAAACGGCGTTTCCGTGTGCTGCGCTGGTGCTGGCTCGCCAGAGCAGCTTCGTCACGCTGGCCACGTGACCCGGAAGTGTCTCCGGACAGTGCTGGCCCCCGGCCTCTTAAGTGAGATGGGCGCACAATCCTAGAGTCGGACACGACTGGCCCGTACGGGCAGGGGTACCTTTACCTTTAAGATAATTAGAAGTCACTTGAAAGTACCAAATAGGCTTAGAATTAGAATAAGAATGAGTTGTAAAGCACTATGGACATAGAAAGATGATTTTGGAGAACTGTTACAAGGTGATACAATGAAATTCAGTTGGGGGGATTTGAGGAAGTCAGATAACAATGAAAGCTAGATTGGGTTTTAGAAGTAATAAGAGTTTATATTTTTGTCTTTTTGTCTTTTTTTAGTATTGTTGTGTTTTCTTTTGTGTGTTTTCTTTGTTATATTTGTTATAAATGTGGGGGAAGCTGCCCTTGTAAAAAGAACAGGAAAGAGGAAGGATAGATTTGCATGGGGCAGGAGAACACCCTACAAGCTGAGCATAAACAGAGAATAGGAGAAGAACCTTTTGCCATGAGAGCAGAAAGGAGATGCTCTTGTCTTGAAGTGGGTGGGCCAAGCCTTCTTTGGGAGTAATGTCAGGGCAGGGGCATTGGGCATCCATTCCCCACGTCTTCCAGGAGAATACCAAGTCCTCCTTCCTTCACAGGGCCACATTCAAGAGAATGGTCTTCATCGCCAGTTCCCAAGCTGATGAACAAGAGCCCAACTCTGTCATATGTGGCGTTCCAGTCGGGCCTTTCTGGATTGTAAAGTCCTTCCCCGTTGCTGAAGGAATCCATTCTACTCAGCGCCTTGCATGTCTTCTAGGATGTTCCGCTTGCTGTCTGAATGTGCCAGTCCCTGACAAGAGGAGAACGGCGTCACTGGCACAGTAAGTGATTGTGGAGGCCAATTCTGGATCCACACTTTTCACAGTGGGGACATAGGTTTCCAGGTGGGAGTTGATCACTGTGTGGATTTGCTTTCCTCTTAGCACATTTCTCCCTTTTGTCCTGAGTACAAGCATCTTCAAAGCCCATGACACCTTTGGCAAAGGCTGTTCCCCAATTGGAACGCTTGCAGGCCAGTGTTTCCCAGTTGTCGGTTTTTAGACTACATTTTTAAAAGATTTGCTCTTTAAACCTCTTTTGTCGACCACCAGCATTATGCTTTCCATTTTTAAGTTCGGAATAGAGTACAGTGGTACCTCGCAAGACGAATGCCTCGCAAGACGAAAAACTCGCAAGACGAAAGAGTTTTTCGTTTTTTGAGTTGCTTCGCAAGACGAATTTCCCTATGGGCTTGCTTCGCAAGATGAAAACGTCTTGCAAGTTTGTTTCCTTTTGGATTTTCAATGCATTCCTATGGGAAACAGTGCTTCGCAAGACAAAAAAACTAGCAGAACGAATTAATTTCGTCTTGCGAGGCACCACTGTAGTTCCTTTGGAAAACGATCATCAGGCATCCGAACAACATGACCAATCCAACAAAGTTGATGTTGAAGAATCATTACTTTGACACTGCTGATCTTTGCTTTTTCCAGCAACTCTGGCATTCATTTGCCTGTCTTCCCAAGTGATGTGTAAAATTTTTCGGACATACCGCTGATGGAATCTTTCGAGGAGTTAGAGATGGCATTTATAAGTGGTCCATGCTTCACAAGCATACAGTAAGTAAGGTTGGTAGTACAATAGTTTGTAAACAAGCATTTTGGTTTCCCTGCGAATGTCCTGGTCCTCAAACACTCTGCACTTCAATCAAGAGAAAGCTGCACTCGCAGAGCTCAGTCGATGCTGGATTTCGGCATCAATGTCGGCCCTTGTGGAACGCTATCTGCCCAGGTAGGAGAAGCGATTGACATTTTCCAACAGTACACCATTGAGTTGGATAAAATATTGAATTAAATATTGGAGGTAGCAGGCAGATCCCCCCCCAACAAATTGATCACAAGATGTGATGCATGCACATCATCTGAATGGCAGTGCCCATCAACTTTGAGGGCCCCAACACCCTCAAATATTTTGGGGGGGGGGCAACCAACTCTCTTTAAAAAACAGCTGCCACCTCCCCTGCCAGCAATACTTACAAATGATGCAGAGCAAATTCCCTAATGCTGCCAAAACAATAAGAGCCCTTCAGAATTTCAAGGCATCCTTCTGCTTATTTAAGTCCACATTGCTCCCTTAGAAAACTTAAATCTACGCTGCTGACATTCTTTTTAAATAGCCAACCAACCAACTCTTTCTTACAGAGGTTTCATTATCTTCCTTATATGATATATGATATCTTTATTGTCATTGTCCCATACAGAACAATGAAATTGAAAAACTACATAAAACATTCAAAAACCCCTAAAAACTTTGAAACCCTATTTTAAAATACACTATGCTATACTATACTATAAAATACACTATACTATAAAATACACTATACTACAGAGACCCCTTATGCTGCGTTTAGAACCAGAATTTCATTAGCGTAGAAACTGTTTCTCAGGCGGCTAGTCCTGGCCTTTATAACCCTGTAGCTTCTTCCAGAAGGCAGAAGCTGAAAGAGATCATTTCCGGGGTGCGTACTATCCTGCGCTATCTCTGCCGCTTTCTTATGGCACCTGGCAGCATAGATTTGATCCAAGGTGGGAAGAGTGCACCCAATTATTCTCTCTGCAGTCTTTAACAACCCTGGATAGCATTGTTTTTTCCCTGGCTGTGCAGCTCCCAAACCACACACAGAGACCATAAGTTAATACGCTCTCCACAATACAATGGTAAAATGCCATCAACAGGTCCTTTGAGAGATTGTTTTTCTGGAGGATTCTCAGAAAGTATAACCTCTGCTGTGCTCTCTTCATCAGGTCTTTGCTGTTTTCTCCCCAGGTTAGGTCGTCTCTCAGCTCCATTCCCTTGTACCCCGTCACTAAATTATCTCTCCTGGTTTTGGAAAAGAGCAGCACATCTGATGTCAGGGGGATGCTCGTAGAAAAATATGTGTTTGTTTCAGCACAGAGGGACTTCTCGCACAATTCACCAGTGTTTGCTCTCACCCATGTCAGGCACGGAGACATTTAAATACGATGAAGATGATGATTGATCCACTGCCATCAATGCACATGCTGATGACATGTAAAGAAAATAAAAGTCCTTTCAGTCTAAATTTGGACAGGGTGGGTGGGTGAGGCAACAGAAAGGGAGAAACTAGGTAAAGAGCGGATGTGGGGGAAATCCACTTAGATGCACATTCATACTCCATAGAAGTGATTACATTAAATTGCAGTTTAATCTGAGATTAAAACCACAGACTTTTTTTCATGACTGATGGACTTCCATATTATAAAGGAATAATTCCCTTAAAACAAAAGACGAGATAACCCATAATGTAGAGAGAAATAGTCAGATCAGGGTATTGGGTCAAGGATTTATTTTGAACGGATGCATATTAACACTGATTCTCTTTATAAAAACGGACTCACACATGAACCTCTATACACAGAAGTAAGTTTACACATTGGTTGGGCAGTGTTCTCGAAGCTACCAGCATGAGTTTGACCAAACTGCGGGAGGCAGTGGAAGACAGGAGTGCCTGGCATGCTCTGGTCCATGGGGTCACGAAGAGTCGGACACAACTATACGACTAAACAACAACAACAAGTTTACACATATAATTAGATTGACTGGAACTTGGGGTTCGCTTAACACCGGAGGCAGGCTTTCAGGTTATACTAAAACTAAAAAATTAGGTTATTAGACCTGACGTCAAAGTTGCTGGAGAATCTGGCTGATGTTTACCTAGTTGCCAAGGTTTATGGGACAACCACTTTGGTCGGCATGGAGACAGCCTTGGTTGAATGCAAGCACTTCATTCTGATGTCAAGTATGATGTCACAATCAGGATAAACTCCAAGTCTTGGCTAAAGGAGAGACAAGTTAATAATCAGATCAAGGCTGGTTGAGACGGATCTTTATGCCAAGTGATGAAAAGGTTTGTTTGGGGACTATTTGGTGTTTGAGACGACACTTCCTCCATCAGTTTTGCAGTAAGGTAAAGGGACCCCTGACCGTTAGGTCCAGTTGCAGACGACTCTAGGGTTGCAGCGCTCATCTCGCTTTACTGGCCGAGGGAGCCGGCGTACAGCTTACGGGTCATGTGGCCAGCATGACTAAGCCGCTTCTGGCGAACCAGAGCAGCACACGGAAACGCCGTTTACCTTCCCGCCTATTTATCTACTTGCACTTTGACATGCTTTCGAACTGCTAGGTTGGCAGGAGCAGGGACCGAGCAACGGGAGCTCACCCCGTACACACTACTACTACTACTACTACTATTTCTGACCGGGCACTGTTTCCGACTGCAGTATTCTGGCTATGTCTGGATGCATGGAACCTCTACCATAGCCACAGCCTTTAATTCAATTTTAAAAATAAGCATCTCTCCTCCCAGGCTTCTGCCTGCAGCCTGCTTCTGTCTCAGCTCTCTTATCACATAGACCTTAACTTTTGTCTTTCTAACTACCACCCAGTTCAAGGATGGAGGCCAACTTATTTGTCCTCTGGCACAAAACCACTTCATTTGTTACCCTAATGACCCATACTTAGGGGCCCTTGAATTGAATCCTCCATTTGATTTTAACCCTTGCTGGATCCAGGAATTAGAAGAGATTCAGGCATACAGGTGACCCTCCCCACACTCCTCAACTCACAATATTATTATGGCACAGCCATAAGGATTTTATGAAATACAGTGGTGCCTCGCAAGATGAATGCCTCGCAAGACGAAAAACGCGCAAGACGAAAGAGTTTTCCGTTTTTTGAGTCGTTCCGCAAGACGAATTTCCCTGTGGGCAAGACGAAACGTCTTGCGAGTTCTTGCGAGTTTGTTTCCTTTTTCTTAAAGCCGCTAAGCCGTTAATAGCCACTAAGCCGCTAAGCCATTAATAGCCGCTAAGCCGCTAATAGCCGCTAAGCCGCTAATAGCCGTGCTTTGCAAGACGAAAACCGCAAGACGAAGAGACTCGCGGAACGGATTAATTTCGTCTTGCGAGGCACCACACTACAGATTAAATGATTATCAGGTTTGGGCCTCAAGATGGCGTTGCTGCCTTGTACATACTGGAGTAATAATTATTAATACTGGATTAATAAAACACATCTACTAAAGGTGGTTGTGTGTGTGTGTGTGTGTGTGTGTGTGTGTGTGTGTAAATCCAAATGTATGGCAAGACATGTCGGAGGTGTAGATTCTGGTGAATTTCCTTTGCAAAACAAGCTCAACAACATTTGTGTCCAGATTTTCACTTTTTGAAGTATGGCATGATAAAACTCACAAAACTGATGGTGCACGGACACTATAAAAACTGGTGAGATTACGTTTTGATTGTGTCTCTAGATCTGTATATGCTCCATACTTTTGTAATTTCCAGAATCTAGTTCTTGAAATAATTTGGCTTGTAGGGGTCAACTGAAGAGATTCATGATCTCACTAGATGCTGCTCACATATGTTGAATCTTTATCTAACCTCTTAGAGCACCACGATTTAGAAGAAGAATTTGTAGAAATCGCATATATTATCACCTGTGTGTACCTCATGCTTCCATTTCTAAGGGGCAAGACTACATATTGCTATTATTGAGAATCCTTTTGTTTTACCCCACACTTTCCCTGTCCGTAATCCTAAACCCAGTACCCCTCCCAGTTATGACTCTTGAGACAATTTCACTGACTTTTTATTTATAACCTATGCCTACTCTAAGACGTCATGATTCTGATGGTACCACGTAAGATATAACTGACCTGCCTATTATATTGGCCAGAGTGGGATGTGTTCATAGAAAAGAAAACACACAATGCTCGCGAACCTGCAGAAGGTCAATTAATTTCAAATTTTATTTGTCGCTTAGAAAAAGAAGAGCAATCATTGATTAGCACTGGGAACCACCTGTCTGCAAGTAGCTACTGACAAAGATGTTGTCAGGTGGAAAAGTACTGGAAATATATCTAAGCTTTTAGCAAGCATCTGTATATGTGGCTATAGAACTAAATATACAAAATATACATACAGTGGTGCCTCGCAAGACAAATGCCTCGCAAGACGAAAAACGTGCAAGACGAAAGAGTTTTCCATTTTCTGAGTCGTTCCGCAAGACGAATTTCCCTATGGGCTTGCTTCACAAGACGAAACGTCTTGCGAGTTCTTGCGAGTTTGTTTCCTTTTTCTTAAAGCCGCTAAGCCGTTAATAGCCGCTGAGCCGCTGAGCTGCTAATAGCCGTGCTTCGCAAGACGAAAAAACCGCAAGACGAAGAGACTCGCGGAACGGATTAATTTCGTCTTGCGAGGCACCACTGTATGCAATATACATATACAAATATACTAAATATACTAAATAAACAAGATGTCACAAAGCTAAGGTATTTGACACAGAACAACAGCGCAGGGAGTTATTAGAGAGCTGTAGCTGGTAGCAAAGTGACAATTTCCTTGAGCATCGTACAAAGAACTTGAACTGCTGACAACGCAAACACAGGAGTGTCTAACCACAGACCCAGTTATGCTATTATATAGTACTTTTTGTGTCTACTTAGCAGTTTGTATATTGGACTATGTGCCCTACATTTACAGCTTGGACAGGAGAAAGGGAATCTGATTTATTTTTAGAAATCCCAACAAATGCTCTTTCTTTCTTTTTCTTATTCATCAGAGTTAACCTGCATCTCTCTCTCTCTCTTTACAGTATTCAACAATCAAGAACACACATTCTTGCAGTGTAATAATAACATTGTAAGATCAGTGAATGGCTTGCTAGCACAGGTGAAAAGTATTTAAACAGCCAATTGCTGATTAATGTAATGATTTAATCTAGCCTTCCTTCTCTTGATGTGTGGGTTCATACTTTCTTATCTTCAGATAAGGAATAAACTTGTATGCTGTAAGACTTGAGCATCACTGAGTTCCTCAACAGAACCTCTTGAGTACCAGATTTCACACACACACACACACACACACACACACACACACACACACAATAAAAGAAGTGGGGGAGTATGGCAAAAATAAAAATGGGGTTGTGCGAATTAGCGTTAAAACTCGTAACCAAAACCAAATGAGGCTTTTGCAAAAACTGCAATTAAAGCAGTAAAGGAAATACGGAAAATATAGGAGCTTATTTGCTAATATTAGAAGACAGAGGAGGTGTGCTTGGTTTTAAAAAGAAATAATATAAATAGTGAGCAAAACAGAAACAAGTTGGAATGGAGGAAGAGAAATTAATTATCCAAAGATATAGACCCTATAGAATAAAGGACAGAAAGGGGTGCATGGTTTCTGTGTTGCAATGGCCCATCCACACTGTACATTTAAAGCAGTATTCCCCAAAGAATTCTGGGAGTTGTAGTTTCAATTCATTTTCCCAATGAATCCTGGGAGTTGTAGTTTGTTAAAGGCACTGGCAGAAAGTTGTTAGGAGAGCTCCCTCACAGAACTACAATTACCAGAATGGTTTAGCAATTCCTCTTTTAATGGAACTCAGAGAACTGTAGTTTTGTGAGGAGAATATGACTCTCCAAACAAACTACAGTTCCCAGGGTTCATTGGGGGGGGAGCTATGATTGTTTCTGACGGTATGAAACAATACTGTTTTAAATGTATAGAACAGATGGAGCCTCTGTATGTGAGACGGGGGCAAAATGGCACATGTGGTTCTGTGTTAAGAACATGTAAATTACGTACCCTGGGGCAAAAACATGTCAGGAATGTTTGTAAAATTAAGAGAAAAACGTTTCCTTCTGTGTGTACACAATTACCAAGCAAACCTTTATCGGGGCCTCATAGTTCAGATTAGGGGTTTTCCGACCTCTCCTCCCAGACCCTCCAAGTGACCTTATTTTTCAGGGACAGTCCTGGATTTACAGAAGCCGTCCTGGTTTCTGATTTGATCTGGAATGTCCCAATTTCCCTTAAAAAGCTAAAGGGACCCCTGACCGTTAGGTCCAGTCGCGGATGACACTGGGGTTGCGGCGCTCATCTCGCTTTATTGGCCGAGGGAGTCGGCGTACAGCTTCCGGGTCATGTGGCCAGCATGACTAAGCCGCTTCTGTGAACCAGAGCAGCGCACAGAAACGCCGTTTACCTACCCGCCGGAGTGGTACCTATTTATCTACTTGCACTTTGATGTGCTTTCGAACTGCTAGTTTGGCAGGAGCTGGGACCGAGGAATGGGAGCTCACCCTGTCATGGGGATTCGGGTGAAGAACTTAATTAGTTCTGGAGGTATGTTCTTAACCTGAAACGGTTCTTAACCTGAAACACCACTTTAGCTAATGGGGCCTCCCACTGCTGCTGCCGCGCCGCTGCCGCGCAATTTCTGTTCTCATCCTGAAGCAAAGTTCTTAACCTGAGGTACTATTTCTGAGTTAGCGGAGTCTGTAACCTGAAGCGTCTGTAACCTGAAGCATATGCAACCCGAGGTACCACTGTAAAGGGGAGCATGGGATGCGGGTGACGCTGTAATCTAAATCACTGAACCACTTGGGCCTGCCGATCAGAAGGTCGGCGGTTTGAATCCCCATGACAGAATGAGCTCCCATTGCTCTGTCCCAGCTCCTGCCAACCTAACAGTTCGAAAGTACACCAGTGCAAGTAGATAAATAGGTATCGCTGCAGCAGGAAGGTAAATGGTGTTTCTGTGCGCTCTGGTTTCCGTCAGGGTGTCCCGTTGCGCCAGAAGTGGTTTAGTCATGCTGGCCACATAACCTGGAAAGCTGTCTGTGGACAAACGCCAGCTCCCTTGGCCTGAAAATGAGTATGAGTGCCACAACCCCATAGTCGCCTTTGACTGGACTTAACCATCCAGGGGTCCTTTACCTATTGATTCATATGTTGTTGGTGGGTTCTTGTTGTCGGGCTGTGTATGTAATAAAGGGGAGCCACATTGGGTCGAAGGCGTCCTCTTCTATTTGTCCCCATGTCAGATTTAGTCTATTCGTTAGCATTTTTTAGGAAGGCTGTTTCCCGTACAATTTGGTACCAGAAGTCCATGTTCCCTCCTGACAGGTTTCTCCAGTGTCTGGCTATGATGCTTCTGGCTACTGAGAACAGATGGTCAATTGCGGCAAGAACGTTACTCGCCCCAAAATGGAAAGAAGAAATCCCAGCAAAGGAAGAATGGATACAAAAACTCATGGAGTATGCAGAAATGGTGAAACTTACGGGAAGAATAAGAAATCAAGATAACAAACTTTTTATAAAAGAATGGAAATGGTTTATTGAATATTTACAGATAAATTGTAAACAGATAAAAACATTGGCAGGATTATTGTAATAACCTGCAGTTTTGTAAGAGTATATTTAAACTAGATGAATAAATGAGCAAATTAAGTAAATTTGGATATGCAGAAGAGATAAAAAATAATTTTAAGGAACTGCAGAAAGAGGAGGAAGGAAGTCTAGTTTTGAAATGTTAAAATGATTGTAAAATTAGTGAAATGCAGTGCTTTTTTCTGGGGGGACGCAAATCCCTAAACATTTTGTGAATATATGTTTGGCCTCACTGAGGAGCAGTATTTCAATATGAGTGGGAATTTGAGAGTACTCCTAAATATTTTTTAAGAAAAAAAGCACTGGTGAAATGTATAAACCTGAAAAGCCGAAATTAAATGAGAGAGCCAGAGACGGAGCAGATGGTTCATAAGCTCTTTAGAATGCGAGTGGGCATTATTCCACTGGAAAATGTTGACCAGGGCCAGTTCTGGGGTGACTTCTAATAGCTGTTTCGTTATTTCGAGGACACAGCCCTGGCGTCGAGCAAAGGGGACACGGATCCTCCTCGCGGCTCAGGCGGGGGAGCGCAAGAGACCGGATCCCTCCTTCCCACCGAGTGGAAGCGAGAGGGCGGAGCGCGTCGGCGTTGAAATGCGAGCGCCTCCAAGATCCGCCTCTCCAATCTGCGCGCTGCGCCCTGGAGCCCCGGAGGAGGCGCCCAGGCGCGCGGAGAGGGCGGGTTGCTTGTGGGCCGCCTGCTCCGTCTCTGCCTCGGAGAGAAGGGGGGCAAAACGAAAACAAGCGGCCGAGAAGGGGCGCCGGGCCGAGACGGGGACGCGAAGTCTCTCCCAGCCATGATTTGCGGCAGGAAGAAAAAGGCGTGCGGGGAAAAGCAGCGCTGCTGCCCGCGCCAGCAGCAGCAACAACTCTCCAGCCAGCCGTGCGCAATCGTGCCCAAACTCTCCGGGCACCGCGCCTTCAAAAAACTGGGTAAGTCAGAGAAGTGAAGTGCCCGGTGGGGATTTAAAAAAAGGAGAGTTCCCCGCTCCCAGCAAGTCTTTCCCAACTTTGCAGGTTCCTCCTGTCGGTTATTCTTTCCAAAACTCGTCCGCAATGTTTTTGCTGGACCTAATTAGCGCCAGGGTTCAGCCCCCGCATATACATTAGCGCCAGGGCTCAGCCCCCGCATATGCATATATGTGTGCGGGGGCTGAGCCCTGGCGCTAATTAGGTCCAGCAAAAACACTGCGGAGAAGTTAAATGAGTCAATATATTTATTTAGCGCTGGAGTGAGAGGGCGTCAAAGGAGACAAGAGGGCCCCTGAGCAGCTGCAGAGTGCCTTTCTGTCACCGCTGAAATCGCTCCCGGTGCCCCAGCGGATAGGGGGTGTAAATTGGGGGTGGGCAAAGGGATGTGTTTCCAGACGAACATTTCTTTCTGTCTCGACATTAAACGCCGGCTGCTTTTAGCCTGGGTGTTGCCATAACTCCAGGAACGCAGGATTTAATTTGTCTCCATGTACAGTGCGGGACCTATTTTCCATACCGTATCAGCCTTGAGACATGTGACCTGATTAAAAAGAACAAAGTGCTTTTTTTTTTTTTTTTTTACTAATCTGAATGTAATTTGTACTTCGGCACAGATAATGTAATATTTGAATAATTGGTTCTTGAGTGATTCCGATTTGCCAGGTGCCTTAACCGCAAGTTGCCCTTTAGGCAGTAGGAAATATGGGGGGGGGGGGGCGGAGAGAGTGAAGAATGTAAGATTTAAGCAAATGATTGTCAAAAGTTCCTTCGGTCAGCTTCTGGGTGGCTTAATGGAAAACCTGACCCTGTACTAAACCGGATTTGAGCGAAGGGGATTTAATTGCTATCCTTCGATTTATTTGTGTGGTTTTTTTGGAATCTGAATCAAATGTTTACTTTTGTCCGGGCCATCAGTAGTCTGTGAGCTTAATTCAGGTTGTCCGTGGTGTGTCTGTAAAAATACATTAAAAACCAAATGGCATCTAGCACAAGTCGCAGGCAGAAGTCATATGTCAAGATCATCAGCAATTTTCAAGTGGTCAGTGGGGGGAAAAGGGTGGGAACCACAGAGGCATTACCAACCAGTGGGCAGCAGTAGGGTACTGTAGGCAGTGGGAAAAAGCAGTGTGTTTGTGGTCAGAAACGGCTTAGCAATGTCACTGGAATGAACCGCTGCAATAAACCTTTAAAATTTCTCAGTGTTTACCTTTAGATAACATTTTCTCTTGAGATTTGATCAGGGCACGGCACCATTTTCGCTCTAGGTGAAAGTTAAAAAGAAGAAGAAGTAATCGCTTTACTTTTTGAGTCAAATGGAGCAGTTTCGTTAAAGAAGAGGCATGGCCAAAGCTGGGAGTGGTTGGTGCTAAAATTGGTTTTGGATGAAGCTACAAGACCAAGACTAAGGGACGCGGGTGGCGCTGTGGGTTAAACCACAGAGCCTAGGACTTGCCGATCAGAAGGTCAGCGGTTCGAATCCCCGCGACGGGGTGAGCTCCCATTGCTTGGTCCCTGCTCCTGCCAACCTAGCAGTTTGAAAGCACGTCAAAGTGCAAGTAGATAAATAGGTACCGCTCCCGTGGGTACCTATGCGCTGCTTTGGTTCTGTGCGCTGCTCTGGTTTCTGTGCGCTGCTCTGGTTCACCAGAAGCGGCTTAGTCATGCTGGCCACATGACCCGGAAGCTGTACGCCGGCTCCCTCGGCCAGTAAAGTGAGATGAGCGCAGCAACCCCAGAGCTGTCCGGTCAGGGATCCCTTTACCTTTAACTTTACAAGACCAAGACTAGTCTTACCTGCAAGAGATTTCTTTGTAATAAATTTCCACCATGGTACCAGAAGCCCTATGTGGAGTGGAGATTGATGGATGAAATAAACATATAGGAACTCATGCATTACCTCGTTGCTAGATTTGATTTCATCCTTCAGCCTTCTCATCTTACGTATACTCTGGCTTCACTAGTTGGGCCTGATCCAAGGTGAGTTGCAACAGGAGCACTACCACCTTGCGAATACATGGTAAAAGTTTTAAAGATTGCATGTGTGGGTTAAAATTGGGTCCTGGGCCAGAAAAAGTTAAAGATGACAGCCCTAGTGAATATATACACTTTTAGAATCACAAGTTGCAATAGACTTTAGGACTGTCTTTTAGTTGATTTATCTGTTGAGGTAGCTTTTAACCAGCTATTTGATTACATCAAAAATCCTTTATTAAGTTCATGAATCTCTTCCCCACTTACAGGTTCGTTCTGTGAAAGCCTACTTCTGGTTTAATATCCAGAATTGATATTAGTCAGTTAAATACGGATGTCCCTTGGAGGACATTGAAAGAAATAGGAGAAGAATTTTATATCCGCGAGCTACCACTTAGCAATAAAGGATTCTTTTTATTATTTCTTTTAAAAACCTCGGTTTCAATAGTACAAATGGAATTTTAAAATAAACTAGTGTGATCAGCAATGAGGACACTTCTTGTAGCACAGTCACCAAAGTGAACTGATTAGTTGCTTAGCTTTTCCATTTATTTACAATATGGAGATACTGACTTCCTTGCAGTTTTACAGTACGGTAAGCACTCTGAATGTTCAAAAGAACTATATAAATACTGGGTGTTATTATTGCTAATCCCCTGCTTAAACATTTGCTCCTGTGATCAGCAGCTGGGAATTTGATTTTTCTGTCAATTAAAGATTGCATTCCTAACAGAAATGGATATAAGGCACAGTAAATGAAAACAGCCGCCTGGTTCTGCTTATTTCACACAGCTTAATTCTCTCCAGAAGTGAAAG